CCCCAAAACCCCAAAACCCCAAAACCCCAAAACCCCATTAGGTAAATCGGGAATGAGAAAAGTTGAAAGAAAACTCATTAATTTTATACTCTTTGATTATAGATAAGAATTAACAAGACAAGATTGGTTATTATCAAATATCAAGAGCTCTAGCTAGTTTCTATATTCTATTGAGTAGAGCATCACCTGACTTAATAGTATTAGTGAATAGCTCAGCCTTTTTGTTTGGTCTGTTCGACTCGATTACCCCAGATACTTTATCAATTTTGCAGTTGATTTTACCAATGTAAATGAAGTTTGAAAGTTCTTTATCGATGAAGTCTGGCTGTACACCGAATGCTCTGGCCATATTCTCAATGGTCACTGACTTGAATGACTCTAAATACTGTCTATAAGCTACAAGTCTCATCTCCTTGATGAAATAGTTAGCATGAGTTTGGAGGTATTTGTCTCTTTTAATAGCATCAATGATCTCAACGAATGCCTCGAAGAATTGCTTATACTCGCAGTTATAGAAACTTTCCATATACTATCTGAGGAATGGAATATCTCTAATTACAGCCAAAATGTCTGGGGAGTGTACTACCTCCTTTCTGATTGTTTTACGGTCTTGAGTAACCATTGCTGTTACTACTGTATAGAAAACGAAATCCTTGTATTCCATTAACTCCACACAGGTGAAGGTAGCAATAGAGCTCATAAATAGTTCTGCTGCTCTCTTGAGATCTCTGATAAGCATGCAGTAAACTCCTTCAAAGATCTTTAGCTTGTTTTTCTTATCCCAATCAGCACCTTCGTCTACCAACTATTTGCACAGGGTAACATCTTTCTTCACAGAATCAATATCAAACTTCTCAATATTCATAAGAAGGATCTCGAAAAGTAATTCCATCTTCTTTGAAGCGCCACCAGACTTGACATATGCCTCTCTGAATACTTTCTCAGCCTCTGGATAATCTCTTGCTTCCTGCTTCAAGAACATAGCCTTGTCTAGAATAGCATCTCTGACTTCAACATCACCTGAATTGGTCTTGGCATCCTCGATCTTGGCATCTAACTTCTTTAATTCCTCTTCGATTTCTCTCTCAGTCCAGTTCTTTGAGGGTCCTTTTCTTTTCTTTGAGTCGTCTGCTCCGAATGCTAGGTCCATATTTTTTGGTTAACTAATTAATTGTTTAAATTTTAATTATTCTCCGCTATATTCAAAAATTCCTAATTTGTTTAAATTAGTCCAGAAAATCACAAATGTATTTAACCATGCGGGGTTTTGGGGTTTTGGGGTTTTGGGG